TATAATAAAGTTATATATTTTCGTATTTTCTGTTGATATTTGATAATTGATTTACTATTACAATTAAATAATAATTAGAATTTATATATACAATTTTAAATTTGAATTTACTTTTGATGTGTGTTCAAAATGATGGTTATATGCATGATGCAGTGTGAGATGATTCTGTTTTTAATTGTTAGTGCCAACATGTTTATTCACAAAGAAATACTTTTCACTAAAAATTCGGTCTGCAAACCCTTCCCCCACCAAATTACCAGTTTGACTTAAAATATACATTATTTTAATGGTTCACAGTAGTTAAAATACAATACACTAAGAAGGGAACCATTAAGAATGTCTATTAATGATTCTGCAGCAAATTCCAAGTAAGCAAATATTTGTTCCACAAATAGAGGACTTTGCGCCGTATCGATAATAATCGAAATCGAGGTTATCCGACCTTTTGGTTCGGGAGTTATGATTTTTCATGTTTTTTGTACTTAAAAATATTACATAGTTACGTGTATTTTGAATTTTGGGTTTTCGTTCGATTATTACGAAACTCAAGATCCTAGTTTTTCGGTACGAGGATTCAAAAAGGGTCTATGGTCGAAGTATGTATGACCATTATTCCGCCAGCAATCGGAGTAGCAAAAAGTTGCTTATTCGTATAACCAGACGTTTCCTTATAGTATACGTCTGTTTGACGTTTTCAGTAATAATTATTTCGAACTTTTTTTTCGCATGTAGTAGGCTCATTATTTATTAGTGTAAATCGATGGATATATGGGAATAAAATATTAAAACCTATATAATAACAAGTAAATTGCATATACAGGGTTTAACAGATAGAACTGACTTTTGGAATAACTTTTGTTCAAATCAATATTTTTTTATTTTATTTTTTATTTATCATTTATAAACCCTAGCGCTGCATGTACAATCATTTTATTTTTATCTTTAATTTAAGTACTGAAAATAAAAAAAAATTAAATTTGATTTAATTTGTTTTAAAAATTTTCAAAAAAGCCATTTTGTAAAACTAACTATTAGAAAAATGTTGATGTTGAAATTGTTATTATTGAATAATCCAATATCCAATATTTTTTGTTTGTAAAGACCAGTAGGTAGTTCAAAACTCTGTACATATTTGACCACGGACTAAGATAGTATCTGATACTATCTTAGTCCGTGTATTTGACTCAGTGTAACGATAACCATAGTAGCCACAGCCCACAATTATTACTGACAGATAGGTTATTTATTGTCAATATTATCACACTCATAATAATAATTGAAACACAATTAATTATAACAGATAAGCAAGGGCATAGATTACATAAATTTCAATTGATAAGTAAAAATTATGCCGTATCTTAATTTGATATCATACAATCACAGTATGCCACAGAAGAAAATATATAATTTTATAATTGTAGTGTACGCACACTGTTGAACTAAGTTAACCTTTTTTAACCAAAATTTGCGTTTTTTCAAGAAGTGCGGCACGGATGCTGTATGAGCTCACCACAGAGGATTAATGAATTGTCTAGAATTCAACAAAGCACTTGATTTTATAAAAGGATATCAGGATTTAGGGAAATTTGGACGATCTTTAGATACATCTAAAAATGCCTTAATAATAATGATTCGTGGCCTGTATCAAAAGTGGAAATTTCTATTTGCATTTTTCTTTAGTGGATCTGGTTTAAAGGGAACAGACCTAGTTTAAATAATAACTGAATGCATAAATAAACCGGAAGAAGTTGGATTGTTGCAAGTAGGTATTGTGTGCGATCAAGGGACTCAAAACTGTAGGATGTTTGATTTACTTGGTGGGACAAAAACTGACCCAGTAGCCGACATTAATGGTAAGAAAATATGTCACACCTCATAAAAAGTTTACATAACAATTTTTTGAACGGTGACATAGAAATTAGCAGTAAAAAAATCTGTTTCCATGATATCAAGGACACATTTACAATTGATGTGAATAGTATTAAAAAAATAAGAACAACTCATTTACATCCAAATACGTGGCAAGAAATGGCAGTGAAATATGTAACTCAAATATTTAGTAAATTAGTTTCAGCATCAATTTCTACATGTATCACTACAGGATAATTAAGATCAGGCACAGCAGAATTTATAATGGAATTCAATGACACTTTTGATATTTTAAACAGTAAAACAATATACGATAAAAAACCTAATTCTCGGCCATTAAGTGAAACTATCATTAACATATTTCAAATTTTAAAAAATACACGCAACATATTCCTCGAAGCTAAAATACTACATAAAAACAAAAACAAGTCAAACTATCGATTAGCTTATGGAACTTTGGAAGCATAAATCTTATACTAATAGACTGGCCTTGCCTATAGAGTAGCAGGCTAGACATACAGCAGTGATGTACAGTATTGTATATGCATGCACGTGTATGTATATATATATATATGTATGTATATATGTATGTATGTATATATGTGTATGTATGTAATACATATATAGGGATAAATGTATTGACTCGGGCTAAGTCGAGTGTGTGAACGATTCGGTTCTCACGATGGTCTACGTGACCGAAAGGGCTGGGTCAGCACATTCTTAGAGACCCGGACGGACCGTTGCGGCGGGCAGTGTTGCCATGTTAGCATTTATAAGGCTAGATCTAGCCTTTTCCGTTCTAAGCTGGATCATACAAAATTGTATCTGGATCCTGGCCTTTTTTCTAGCTATTAATGGTTTTTGTCTAGCTTGTTTCTAGCTTTTAGATAATTCTATTTAAAACAAAAAATTTTGAAAATTTTTTTTTATAATTTTTGTTATCACCAATACTTATCACGACGATACGTCATTACTTGGGAACATTACAGCCATTAAATTTGAATATTTTAATTATTACATTAATTGGTGCTGCATATAAAAGCAGTATACTATAGGTTTATTAATTATTTAGTATGAATCTTTGTTTTTTTTTGTATCAGTTGCATTACAGACCATTATAAAATGATCTGTAATGATTATATCTATAATAATTTTATCTAAAATTAATTTTGTATTGGATTTTCCAGTGGGTTTTTCATACTAAGTACGAACTTTGAACTGTTTCGCTCACGGTTTATATTTTGTATTTATCCTTTAATTCTTTCGTTTATTCATTTAGGGCCGTTCTTACGACGTCCGGTTAAAGTTAACCGACACTTAACCGGAAGAATTCTGCCGGTAATAAAATCTGTTATCAGTCGGTTAGCGTTAACCGACACTTTACCGGACATTGTAAGAACGGTCCTTAGTCTATTGAGTTTTGACACGTACCTACGTTAGTATTGTACTATTATTCTTTAATCCGCCATCTCGCTTTTCGTCGTAGTCGTGCCGTGTGCGTTGATATTTTTTTTTTACCTAGTCTGTTGTTCGAGGTTTACGTGATTACATTAAACTAGTCACTCTGTTGCTGATATTTTTTAGTACCTACTTACTTGGTTATTTTTTGTAATGGGAAAACCACAGTATCAGCAAACATTTTGACCAATTTGGCTGAAAGATGCTTTATTTAAGGATTGGCTTCAAGAAGTCAAAAATGATTCGTCAAAAGCATATTGCACTACTTGCTGTACATCCATTCGAGCTAAAAAAAATGATCTAGTTAACCACGGCAAAAGCCAAAAACATTTATCATCAGTTGGAGCTATAAATATTCACCCTCGTGAAAGTATCAAATTTAAACCCATTAGTTTAAAAACAAATAGAGCTGAAGCAGCCTTGGCATTATTCGTGAGTAACCATTGTGCAATTTTGCCAATTGACCATCTAAGTGAACTCTGTAATAGTTTTTTACTTGAAGATCATATAAAACTTCATAGGACTAAATGTTCTAGGATCATAGTAAATGTTTTAGGACCATATTTTGTAACCAATCTGAAAGATGACATTGGAAGTATGTATAGCTTACTTATCGACGAATCGACTGACATAGTGGTTTTGAAATATCTAGGTATAACTATAATTTATTTTAGTAAAAGTCAGAGTAAAATTATAACCACTTTTCTTTCTCTTGAAGAACTTGTAGAGTGTGATGCTAAATCAATTGTTGCAGCTTTAAAAAATGCATTAAAAAAATATGATTTAGATATTAAAAACAGGATTGGTCTTGGATCCGATAATGCGAGTGTTATGGTGGGCATAAATAATGGAGTGCATGCTATATTAAAAGTAGATAATCCAAATTTAATTTTAATTAGGTGTATTTGTCATTCGTTGCAATAAGCTACTTCTTATGCATGTGCTGATACTATACCAAGGCACCTAGACTTCTTAATTTCTGAAACTTACAACTGGTTTTCCAAATCAACTTTGCGTCAACATTCATATACTGAGATTTATAAAACAATCAATGATGGACATGACCCTCTAAAAATTGTACAAGCTTCAAACACCAGATGGTTATCAGTCGAAACTGCAGTTGTGCGAATCATTGATCAGTGGTATGAGTCAAAGACTAATTTTAGTTTTTCAAGAAATAAAGATAGATGCTATACGGCTGAAATGTTATATACATTATACAGTGATGAAAAACATTTAGCTTACTTATTGTTTTTGAGACCATTGCTTGGAGAGATTCAAAGAGTGAATAAGTTATTCGAATCTGAATATGTGGATTCAACCAAATTAGCCAAAGAATTAATTTCATTAATTACTTTATTTATGAAGTTAATAGTTGTCCCTACATATAGATGTCATCCATTTAAATCACAAGATTTTACTACTCAATTAAACCCAAATCCTTACTTGGGCTATGGGTTTGAAAATAAAATAAATAGTTAAGAAGATCAAAACAAATAACAAACGAGGAAGAAAAACTGCTAAGAGAAAGATGTATTCAATTTTCGGCGCAAACAATTAAACAATTTCAGCAACGACTACCTGAAAATTTAGAAATTTTAGAAAAAATTGAAATATTTTCTCCAAATAATACATTAAAACAAATTAAAGAAAATATTAGTCCTATATGTAAAATGTTTAATATAACAGATAAAGATATTGATAAAATTGAACTTCAATGGCGAAAAATAAATTTGATAGCCCGGGAAAATACTAATTTTGCCATTGACTGTTGGTATAAAGTGTATGAATTTAAAGGCGCGGATAATAATAATCCTTTCAATGAACTAGCAAACTTAGCACTAACCATTTGGTGTATTCCTTGGTCCAACGCTGCTTGTGAGAGGATTTTCAGTCAGATGAATAAAGTAAAAACAAAACTAAGAAATCGTATGAAAACTCCATTGTTGATAGCTTTACTTGATATAAGGTCAGGACTAAAAAGAAATAAAAAATGTTGTCACAACTTTTCATTACCAGACGCTGTACTTAAAAATATTGGGACTAATGAAGTGTATATTAATGATGAAACTGATGAATTAGCTGTTGATGAAGATATTGCATTATTATTACAAAATGTATTATAAATTGTATATATTTGTATATTATGTACTGATGTCTAGAAAATAAAGAAAATATTAATTAATAAATTGACTGTGCATTTTTAGCCTTTTTCTGGCCTTTTATCAGACTTTTGGCTTATCTTTAAAATTATAAATGGCAACACTGGACTGGTGGTGCTCACCACGGGTCACCGCGTAGTGGGAGAATTTCACCTTGAGTCGCTGTCACTGTGTTAGTTGTTATACATACGTATTAAGTATACACGTTTTTGCATACGTAGTGAACACAGTTTTTCGAGCAGTTTGTAACGTTTATCGTATTTTTTTATAATATAAAATATTATAATTTGTTTTGTTTTTTATTACTCAAAGTAATAACATGGATGCTAACAATATTTCTCCTGCCAAACTAAATCCTCGAGGAAAAGTAAGTTGTCAATTTTTCTACTATGAATTCTTAATTAATATTACGGTACTTCAAAGCGTTATACATATAACATTACAAATTATAAGCTAAAGGCCGGATTCCCGTGTAATTGTAAATTTTTATGGCATGTTATAAATCCTATAGAAACAAGTTACAAATCCAAATAAAGAAGTCTTTTTTATAAAAATTTACTAATGAGTACTTTTGTACATATATTTTTGCTCCATAATGTATTATTACATCTATCCACTTTATGCCCGATAATAAATGTCGATGTATAACGTGTATTTTACTATTTAAATCAGTTTAAATTGTATATTTAAAATTTTAAAATTTATTATTATTTTATTTAAATTAAACCATTTTTTTTTAATTTTATATTTTTTAATAATACTTAATAGTTAATTAAGGGCATCTAAATAATATTATACAAAATAAATAGCAATACATATAAAATTTGAAGAAAAATTTGTTGTATAATTCCTAATAAAAATTTGTTTTGCACGATTTTGGATATTTCAGCATTTTAATTTCTCGTTATTTAGTTGGTAGCAACACAAAAATCCGGTCTTTAATGTATAACGTTCTAACGGAAAAAAAGTAACCTACTGTACAGTAGAGCGACATCCAGTTACCCACCTTTTTTTTTTAAATTTAAGCCCTGATCAATAATATAAATAATTTTCTTTAGTTTGTTGGTACTGGTCAGAAGGCAATGATTATCAATTTGTACAAAGATAAAATGAAAATACAAGCAGAAAACCCTGAGAGTCCCCGATTAAGCTACAAGGAAATGATACAGGAAATATCAAAGGCATGCGGTATTGGACGACGAACAATCATTACGACTCTGTCGGAGTACAAAAAACAAGGAACCGTGACATCCCCCAACAAAAAAAAACGTAGATTAACGGTTGATGAAAAAGTAGATGATTTTGATAAAAACGCCATTAGGCAAAAAGTACACAGTTTTTGGATAAAACGTGAAATTCCTACTCTTTCAAAAATGTTTATGGCAGTTAATGAAGATGAAAGTCTGCCAGATTTTAAACGTTCTTCATTTCATAAATTGTTAAGGAGCATGAATTTTGTATATCAAAAAAAAACAGGAATGTCAATATAGAAGAAGTCATTGATGAATTCAACAATAATTACTCTGTGAATAGCCGAAAATTAAGTTTAAAATAAAAATTTTGTAAATTATAATATAAATAAATAATAACACTTGTTGAATATACTTATTTATTTAATTTTAATGTTTTTTTTTTTTTTGCAACACCAAAAATGTTAACTAAATTACGCCACTGCTGACTCAAGTTCAGATTCCAATTCAGATTTTTAAAACTGTTTATTTTTTGTTTGTGATGATTATATTCTTTATTTTTTATTTTTAACTGAATATGACGTGTATTATATACCTAATGTAATGATTATATTTTTAATTGAATATATGACGTGTATTATGTAATGTAATAATTATCTGAAATAAATAAATACATATATACTATACACGTTATTTACATTTATTTTTAAGCTGTTGTAGTGATAGGTATATGGGCAGTCGATGCATGTAAATATTTTTTTGTGTTACTTGAGCCGCTGTATACTCATACACCGGTGGGCGGTCACCGCTTGACGACCGCGAGACGGCGTGACGGTGCTCACCACCGGTCGCCGCGTGGTGGGATAAATCCGCCTCGAGACGGCGGAGCTCCGTCATTCGGATGAGCGAACGAGGTGCGTTCTCTCGCTGGACGTATAGACTTGGAGTATAGACACTCCAACACGGTTTTCGACTTTACACTTTTTACATAAGAAAAGGCACCGGACATGCGAAGGCACATACCACTCTATGTGATGTACCTACTATATATAGGTGATAGACGGATTGCTCATTTTGGTTTCGTCTTAAACGGTGATGATTGACTTGATAGACACTTTAACATGCAGGTTTTTGCATTTTTTTTTTAAATTAATATATATACACTATAGTTACATGTTTATGTATATTGTATTGGTTAATATAAGAGCATGTATCTAACTATCTACCTATATGTTAATTTTTTTTAGGAATTATAATTGCACATTTCTCAAAATGTTCATTGTTATATTATATCACACAATAAATACATATCATATTTGTTTGTATGTATATTGTATATAGTTTGAATTTTTCGTAAATTATTTCGTAAGTTTTGTGATAGGGTTTTCACTTATAGCCGCTTGATGTCGACCTTGAATCCACCTAATCTGCTGTGGATTGTCTACCTGATTTGCTGTAGCACATTGTCCGCGATCCGACGAAGACTCACGAAGTCGGATTGCCTACCTAAGTGGCTAACTTGAAAGTTAATAGATTTTGACTTGAGATGGCTGACTTGCTAGAATCTCCAACACGGTTTTCGACTTTACACTTTTTACATAAGATAAAGCACCGGTCATGCTACGGCACATACCACTCTATGTGCAGGTATACTCTATATAGGTGATCCTGGAGATCGTATCCAGCCTATCCATTTACAACGTTTGTGACGGATTGCTAGACCCTCAAACTTTTAACATTCCCGCCCAAGCGTCTAGCCTTATCTCCAATCCATATTACTAATCCTTATCACAAATCCTAAACTTTCGTCTTACAACCTTAGCGATTTTTATAATTCAAATTGTCTCCAAATTCGGTACCCACTCCCAGCGAGTCCAACGGGCCCCGAGTTACACTTAGAGCTAGTATAGTATATTTTATACACCCATATTTCTTTTACTTATAATTTTCTTTGGAATAGAAAATCAAAAAATAGGAACAAGACACCGTTGCCGCTGCATTGATGAATGCAGATGCAGACGGCAGACGACAAAACCTACCATCATAGTACTGTGTTATATTTGAAAAACGGTCGGTATTCGGTATCGTCGTGGAAGAATAAACGATACCTTTTAGTGAGAGAGGAAAAAAATAGTTGATGACGTAACGTAGTAACGGATATAGATACTGTATCTATATCAATTTTTTACTCAGGTATTGAAAACCACGGATGAAGAAGTAGTCCACATTACTAAAGTCAAGTCTTTCCTTTTCATAAAGCCTTTAGATGGATTCCACGAAATTCATGTATTTTTTACGTATAAATCCGAAGAAAATCCTAAAATTTTGATGCTAAAGAAAAATAAAAAAAAATATTGCAAGATTATCACAGTGCTATGAGAAAAGTTTGAATATATCAAATGAAAAGAGAGTGGACCTCGTCAAGCTTTGTAATGATGGCATAATACCACAGAAGTATCATGTTGAATATCTACAAATGCAATCAGATCTGACCATAATTGATGCCTTGCCAGACTGATGATGAGGACGTCAGGTCATCAAAATCGGAATCGGGCTAAAATTCTTTTAATTTTATCATGTTTTATAATTGTACTTTATAGTGCATACCTACTCTAAAGTAAGCTAAAAGAGATAGCTTTTTTAATTTTTGTTATTTTTTTTTTATATTATGTTTTATATTAAATTGTTTTCATTATGTTGCATAAGTGACTTGACAAGTTCCTATAAATTAACAATTTACTCATCAGTAGAAATGTAATAATTTAACAAACTTTAAATATATTTTATTACTATCCATTGATTGTTTTTGTTGGTTGTCACAATGCCGAGCAAGAAAATTTTGTTAGGCAGAAGTTACATAAAATGAAACCGGACGAGACTGGTGGATTACCTTATGGATTAGTTCTAGTTCCTAACCTACCTTACATGATCACTCTAAACATAGATGTCGCGGATGGTTTATCTAACGGCACTGTAGGAAAATTACTTCTCAAAGAGTTTTATGAAAATGATACAATAACAAGACTTTGGTTCAAATTCCCAAAGTCAATAGGTCAAAAACGTTCAACAAAGTATAGGAGTAACATTGCGCGCTTAAATATCGACAAAGACGCTGTTCCGATTTTTATTTAAACTTCTTCAATACCACTCAACAGAAATAAAACTATACTCGCAAAAAGAAAACATTTTCCGTTAATTTCCGCTTTGGCAATGACAATTCACAAAGCGCAAGGAGGTACTTTCGATGTTATCGTTTACGAATACGACCGTTGTCACTCCAGAGAATTGGTATACGTTGCATTAACAAGAGTTACTATAGAAGGTGTATTCTTAGTCACTAAAGAAAACACAAAGGAGAGCTGGATATTTCATCATGGCAGAGTAGGAAAAGCACAGGTAGAAGATTCAAATGCAACCAAAAATCTAAAGAGATCAACAACTCATCGAGAAGATTTATCGATTGAATTGAAACGTTTGCATGAAAATCCTCTGCAAACCATCAACAAAACATTTCTTGATTTCATCAATAAGAATAATAGATTGTCTATATTTTCATTCAATTGTCAAAGTTTACGTGAGCATGTGAATGATTTAGAAATTGACGCTCTTGTTAACAAGATTAATGTATAATATTATCAGAAACTCATATGGGTAACGACGAAAAAATTGACATTCCAAATTTTAACTTTGTGGCGAGTTTCAGAAGAAATAATCGTCCAGCAGGAGGAGTAGCTATATATCAAAATACCGCCACAGTTCATTATTGCACAAATTATATGGATGTGCATGCCAAATACGCCACGATGTTTAACACTTCTACTTCTGATATCGGCGATATGTGTATAAGTCGTTGCCACTGCGGCGATAATCAATTCATCATTATGGTTGCCGTTTACATTTCTCCTAATAATTCATTGCGTGCTATACGAGACTTCTTTTATGAAAATTTATTTATTTATTCTCATGGCGCATCTGCATTACTTCACCAAAAAATTGGAAAAAGATTCGATGATTTGCCAATGATTTTGAGTGGGGATTTCAATATAAACTTTGCAGACGATAAAAATCTACCATTATTTGAATTTTTCAAAAATGAATTTGGTTTGAACATGTCAAATGATCGCAATCTTAGCACAACAAGATCTACAAAACTACTATTGATGCGGTCTTTACAAGAGATTTGAATAAATTCTAATCAAAATTGTATGTATCATACTTTAGCTACCATAAACCGATTGTATCATTTTTAGAAATTGGCGATGATGCTGGCAGTGATGATGGTGCAAGAGTTGGTGAAATGATGGATGTAAATTGATTTTTCTGAGTGTACTTTAACTCATTTTTGTAAAGCATTTGTAATAATTTTGACATGTAATTTTTTTTTCTTTTATTTAAAATAACTGAAATAATTATGTATATTATTTTATATTAATAAATAAAACAATTCGTGGTACATTATTTCCTAAGCATTACAAAATTTTTAAAAACGAAGTGAAATTGTTCTAGTATATATAGACATAAACGCTCACACTTAAGTATAACAGTATATACCACAGTATATATATACATGTACTCTCGGTGTTGGTGGCGGTGTCGCGATTTCATACTTTTTTCCTCACCCGCAATTGCTTTCTTACGGGGTGCCCAACGTGCTTAAGAAGTTTTCACTTCTACCGGCAGTCCCCCGACTGGTTTTTTTCTTACTGACATTGTCAACTAGTTTAGAAAGTAAACCAATTATTTGTTTTCTTTGATCGTTTTGTGTTTCCATGTTGTTTTTTATTTCTTCAAAAAGTTTGGATTGAATTTCTAAAATGTATTTGTGTTGTATAATTGGCATGTGGTTTAAAATGTTTGATGGGTTTATCTAGTTCTTTGGTTTTAAAGTTGTCTTAGGATTTGTGTAAATTCTGTTAAGACCCGTTGCTAAAGTAGTTCATAGTATCTAAATTAATTTATATATGTGTGTGTCGTAACGATGGTTTCAGATTCAGATCTTGAAATGTTTGCTTGTGACTCTTCAGTTATAGATATCGTATTTAGCGGTATATCTAATATGGTCTATTGTGTTAGAGGACAATGTATCCAATAATGAAGATGGAGACATTTTGTGTTTATATTTAATGGCATGCATAATACCATAATATTCACAGCTTTGATGTGACTTTTTGTTTGTATTTTTCAGTGACTTCACTATATTTTGGTGTTGGGCGGAAAGTAAACCAAATAAAACCTTTAACAAACAAATAAGCGAGTTATTAGTTATCTACTTTCAGTTTTGTTTGTTTAACAATATAGTTATATAATATAAGTAGGTATTTATATTTCCAACAAATGTACGAGTCGCATTGTACTTTCTACGTTTTAGTATTGAACAATGTACAGTGTACACAGTATTAAATACATAGTACTATGGCAGTCTCGATGACAATTATATCTGAACAGCCATCTACGTGAGACAAGACGCAAGGAGTCAATGGGTCGTCGTGAATTTTATTTGTAATTGTAAACACGTATGCGAATCAGTGATTCCTAACCTTTTTTTACTCAACGCCTCTTTTAGATTTTCAAAAATCTCACACCACCCCCTTCCCCCTTATTTTTATACACTGAATTCTTAAATCAAATAAAATTAAACGCCCCCCTCAAAATTAAAAAGCCCACGTCGCAAATCACTGAGTCTTAAATCTTTCCTAAAAAATACGGTTCCGACAAAATACTTTCCGATGCAATATTTTTTTGATTATCATCATAAGGTATTGTCACTATCATAAATTAGTTTTTTTTTAATAATTACTCTGTTAAATACTTGATCATCACATCTAATAAGCGATCTATTAAACTTGCCTCAAAATCTATACGCTTTATCAAACTACTTGGAGACCAACACTGAGCGTTATAGATGTTCTGATCAATCATTTTATCTAGATCGTACAGTCGATAGACATAGTAAATATTCTGTTATCTTTGTATGTAGAGAACTAGATAATGAAATAAATAACACGGATGGAAATGAGTTACATGCTACCTTCAAAATTGTGCCATCGAATCCAAAAAGTCGTCAACTTTTTATGATGCACTTAATTATTCAAAATCATGTAAGAAAGTCTATTTTAATACATCGTTGCACTATATTATAAAACTCCTATTTCCTACGCATAAAATTTAATTTTAATTTTGTCTTTCAGCCCATTTCGATCGTATATGGCCTGATGGAGTCTAAAACAGAAGAATCGTATAGGCTTGTATTAGCAAAATACAATTTACTGGTGACTGGTATCCCACCCAACGCTTATTTATAATGATAGACTATGAAAATACTTTAAAAAAAGCTTTTTCACATATCGTCGTCCACGGGAATAAATCTCCCATGTGAAAAAACGTTACTTTTCAGTAGAGACAAAAGAGTTATTTATAAATTAGCTATTATTCTATTTAATTTAAAAATACTTTCAGAGTGTTCGAGAAATAAATACTACTTTAATTTTATTAATGCCCTCATAATACATACTTTATTTATAAAGATATTTAAGGATTCAAACAAAAAAATTGTCACATAGGATATTTTTTTATCTAAGAGGTGACATAGGAGATTTTAAGCTTTTAAATTTTTGTAAAATGTTACATAGGATATTTTATGAAAATATAAATTACAAAAAAACTTCAGTTTATTTAAATGAAAAATGAAAAATAAACAATATAATAATAATAATTATAACAATTAACAATGCATATTACATTATAGAGTATAAAATATAAATTGTATTTTTATGAAACATAATATTAAATAAAATATAATAATACTACAATCAACTTTAATTTGAATTATTAGACAATAACAGCTTCAGTCTATTTAAATTTCAAAATTGTACATTTAATGTAAAACAAAATAGTATAATAATAATACAACAGTTTTTAAATTATTAGACAATAACAACTTCAGTTTATTTAAATTTCAAAATTTTACATTTTATGTGAAACAAAACAATATAATATTAATACAACAGCTTTTAAATTATTAGACAATAACAACTTCAGTCTATTTAAATTTCAAAATTTTATATTTTATGTAAAACAAAATAATAGGTATAATATTAATACAATGCATTCATTATAGAGTATTAATAAAATATAATATTAATACAATCAACTTTTTAGACAATAACAACTTCAGTCTATTTAAATTTCAAAACTGTACATTTAATGTAAAACAAAATAATATAATAATAATACAACAGCTTTTAAATTATTAGACAATAACAACTTCAGTCTATTTAAATTTCAAAATTTTACATTTTATGTAAAACAAAATAATATAATAATAATACAACAGCTTTTAAATTATTAGACTATAACAACTACTTCAGTCTATTTAAATTTAAAAAATTTACATTTAATGTAAAACAAAACAATATAATAATAATACAATCAACTTTTAAATTATTAGACAATAACAACTTCAGTCTATTTTAATTTCAAAATTTTACATTTAATGTGAAACAAAACCATGCATTCATTATAGGTATAGTATTAAATAAAATATAATAATAATAAGATTAAAAATTAAAAAGGCTTTCAAAATCAGGAACTTTAGTTACATTTTTTTTTTTTTTGTGATATCTGAATGTTTCAAGCTATCATAAAATGGATGGTGGTCCTTTTCAATAACTTGTTTAAGAGATTGCAAGTCATAATATTTACTACTAGATATTGGTAATGGCGCATTGTATAATTGACTTAGTTCGACTTGTTCAGGTATGTGTACATTTTTTATGGATGCCCTAGTTCTCTTACTAGTCTTATTTTGTTCATGTAAAATGGCCCAGTCATTGTCAAAAGAAGTTTTATAAAAAATTTCCCCTTTTGTATACAAAAGTTTACATATATTTGTCACAGTTTTATCACCTGCTTTCTTTCCTGGTCTCAGTGATTTCAGGGAACATACAGCATCATAATTCTTAAAAAACGAATAATCAATAACTTTTATGTTATAGGGTTGTTTTTTCCTTGCTATTCGCATTCTACTAATGTAGTCACCAGGAGAGTATAATGGTCCCTTAAAATAATGTTCGAGGGTTGAGTGAACATTATCAGCCTCCATCATAGTGTGTCCTTTAGTTAAGAATAATTGTTCAATCGTAATGCATTTAGCTAAAGCCAAAGAACTTAATGCACTTGCCAATGTTTTGTTTCTGTTTTGGTAATTACAGCCATCAGATATTAAAACAACTTCTGTCACTTCACTTGGAAGATTGTCAATATAGTTAATTATACAGGTTGTGAACTCATTGGCTGTCACATTACCATCTGATTCATTCCATACATACAATGTCACATCATGGTCATTTAGTTTATAAACTGTAAAATTGTGTAGTTGTAACTTTTGCTTATAGAACATAGCTGAGGCTTCAGTTTTTGGACACAGCAGAACACTCTCTAAATCCATAGTTATAACTACCTTATTGTTAGAAACTATTGATTTATGTTTATTTTTTTCTTCTCTTGCACTATTCTTTCTTTCTATGTGTTCATTATATTCAGCTTCTAGTATAGTGCCCATCTTATAACCAATACATAGATCACACTGATCTTTTCGAGGTTGATGAATTTTTATATTGTTAGCATTTAAAGTTTCACGAAATAGAGTGCATGAAGCTGGGGTTATATTTTCACTAACACACCATTCTTTAAACACATTGAACATACTTTCTATAGATACAAAATTTGATTCAACATATATTTTTGAAGTTGATTGACGACAGTAGTGACTAGGGACTTTTGGCAATAAATGTAACCAATCTTTAATATGAATAATGTCATTTTGTTTTTTTAGAACTCTTGGACTAGGAGTTAGTGAAATTGGTTCAGGATCATGTTCTGAGTCTGATGAATTTGAATTTGATACATTATTTATCTTTTTAGTCCACCGTTTGAAGCAATCTTCACCAATACTTAAAGTGTTCAAAAACATTTTTCGACATACCTTCAATTGTTGTCCATTAGTTAAACACAACCGTATATCTCGACTCTCAATTTTCCTAACTTTATCTGATTTATTTATTTTTCTCCTTCGGGTAATTGGACGATTAGTTACAAGACCTCTTACATAACCTCGTTTTTCTTGCCATGTTTTAATTTTCCAAAAGAATTTGAAAGCATTTTTTCGGTCCTCATCAGAAAATAA